TCCGCTCGTTTAGGGTTTAGGGTGTAATACAGGGGGCTTACCCATAGGCCCCATAGTAGTTCCTGTTTGGGATTACCTTATAGGATTCTAAATATGAAACCCCAAAAGGAACTGCCATGGGGCCTATGGGTCATAATTACCTGTAATATGTTGGAGGTTCCTGATTCTAGTTATAGTACAAGAGGCCCCAAAACCCTATTCTAATGAAATAAGGCCCCTAATGTAGAACCCTATCATAGATCCCTTATAGAACCCGTTATAAGGATCCCTTTAAAGGAACCCCTATTCCAACGATTCAGGCCCCTTTCATCAGGAGGTCTGCAAAGAGACGTTGCTGTCGCCGAAAGGCTAGAGGATCAGGGGTCCAGGGCTTGGGTTTAGGGTTTAGGGTTTAGGGTTTAGGGATTTAGTTTTTGTTGTTGAGCTCCCTTTTCCGCCTGGGGACACCAGCCGGATTTGGGGGTTTAGGGTTCAGGGTTTAGGGCTTAGGGTTTAGGGTTCAGGGTTTAGGGCTTAGAGTTTAGGGCTTACTTAGGATTTAGGGCTTAAGGTGTGGAGCCTAGGGTTTAGGGTTTAGAGTCTAGGGCTTGGATTTAGGTGTTTAGGGCTTAGGGTTTAGGGCTTCGGGCTTAGGGTTTAAGGCTTAGGGTTTAGGGTTTAGAGGCTGTATTCCATTTCACCTCATGCCTGGCGCAAACCTACTTCCGAGCGACCGTGGTCTCGAGGATTTAGGGCTACTTGTGGCCTATCACAAATCAAGATCCGAGGGCAGAACAGGCCCCACAGCGAACTGTTCAGTCGCTTGGGATGTGGGCCGAGTTCTATTTCGTCCCGCTAAGGGGTTATAAGGGTTCATGTAAGGGATTTATGAGGGTTCCTCTTACGGATCCATAAGGTTCAATATACCTGTAATATCCATTGCAGTTGCCTTTTGTCAAGTGTATATGTAGGATCCTACAAGGTAACCCAAGAGAAGAATTACAATGGAGACCATGGGTGAGGCGATTGATTTCTAGGGCTTATGCAGGGCTTTGGGGGATCGTTACAATTTGTGCCTTGAACAAAGTCATAATCACTACATCCTAAACCCTAAACCCTAAACCCTAATCACTTGCAACAGAAGCATCGACCATGCCCGCCGTCGTGGAGACCGCGAAGAACATGTGCATGGGCATGTCCGCCAGCCAGAAGGCCTTGTCTGTGCGTTTCAGAAGATAGGGTTTAGGGTTTAGGGTTTAGGGTTTGTGCGTTTCAGAAGATAGGGGTATGTTAAGTACGACGTTTTAAAGGACCTGATTGTTATATGGGCTTCTTCTGCCTGAGTTTTTGGAAGGCTATGACCATACCCCTCTGATGCCGTGGCTTGTTTACTGTCGCTTTTGGCCCAGATACGCACATAGTAGCTACATTGGTGTACCTACTTGGGGGTTGCGTTGACCTTGCTTTTGGTCTGCCTATTTTTGGGCCGTACACGACCAAATTGAGTGGCCAATGTCGCCAGTGCGATGTACTCCAAGTGCTGGGCGAATTCCTTGGCTGGATTCGTTCGCGCATTTGCGAGGAAATAACTTGCATCGACCCCACAATCCACAAATCTAATGTAAACCCTATAAACTCTAAGCCTTACAAACTCTAAACCCTTAACCCTAGTATGCTAAAGCCGCCATAGCCCCTCGAACACAAGATCCCTTTAGAAGCCCTTACGACACCACCCAAAAATGACTACAAAGCGCCCGGAACCACCGAACGTTTTACTAGACCACAAACAATGCTCCATTTGGGTGGTTTTCTAGACCCAAAAAGGGACCCTAATTTAGAGAACTACCCATTTTCGCTAACTTCCCTCGGAAAGGACCAAACCCTAAACCCTAAACCCTAAGCAGAAAAAGGAAGGAATTCCTTTATCCCTAAACCTCAAGCCCTAAGGCCTAGACCCTAAACCCGAAGCCCGAAACCCTAAACCTAATATAGGGGCCCTAATAACTAGAATAGGGCTTTTTTCCCCCTTTATACTAAAAGTGTAATAAGGAACCCCCAAAATAGTATAGGTAGTTATACTAAACCCTAAACCCTAAACCCTACATCAAACCTAAAGCCAGGGCACTCCAAGCTCGAAAAACAGCAGTGGAAGGGTGATGAGGTCCCAGACCTCTGGCTCTCTCTGCACGGTACTTTTAAAAGCATAAGGCTTAGGGTTTTAGGGTTTTAGGGTTTTAGGGTTTTAGGGTTTAGGGTTTAGGGTTTAGGGTTTAGGGTTTAGGGTCCTGGGTCTAGGGTTTTTTTTTTTTACGACCCTTTTCACCTCGCCGAAGTCCAACAAGACGAAAGCGGATTCCGCTGGGCGTTTGGAACCACGATGGCACAAGGTCAAGCCAGGGTTTAGGGTTTAGGGTTTACAGCTTAGGTTTTAGGGTTTAGGGTCTTAGGGTTTTAGGGTTTACTGCTCTTGGGGTTCTAGGCAGGCTTATGTACTTAATATCTGAGGCTTAGGGCTAGGGCTTCAGGCCAAAATTGTGGGTCCATTCTTATGTTCTTTACATCTGATTAAGGAAAAAAAGGGTTTCTTTTGTGACGCTTTCAAAAGCAATCAGTTCAATGCCACATTGAGACAGGGTGCAATAAACAGGGCTGACAAAGTCGCCCAAACCAACTGCAGGTGACTCTCTGGACCGAAGACGAAGCGTTGCAGATGTGACCTGAGCTCCGCGCGACTTGCGGATTTGGCCGTCTATTTAAGGCATGGGGCCTTCGGGGATTCACCCAAGGTTGGTCTCATTGACTTCGGGGGTCTAAAAGGTCCCCTGCTTCAGGCTTCTAATAGTAACACAATATAACTACAAGTATGAATAAGACTAGCTATTATTGTACAACGAGTGAACTGTTGTAGGGCGGTGGGGAAGGGAAACGAGTGTCTTTGAAGCAAACGGGAGTTGAGTGTACTTCAAGCAAGCGGGAATAAGACAGCACAGGCCCATGTTTCCAGCGGAGCACTGTCGGGCTGAGTCTTCGAAGCAAACATCCTTCGAACTCAAGACCCCTGAATCCAGGAACAGGCCTTCGCGGCATATGCACTCAAATATGTGTGTGTATATATATATATACACACATACATACATACATACATACATACATACATACATACATCCATGCATACATACATACATACATACATACATACATACATACATCATCTATCCCTGACTGTACATTATTCGACAGGGAATATGCCAGTGTTGCTCTTCTAACGGTCAATCTTCTGTACTTGCTGGAGAGACTGCTGCGCTCAAAGCAAGGTTTAGGTTCTGCGGTTCAGGGTTTAGTAAGCCCTAAACCCTAAACAATTGAGGGTTTAGGGTTGAAGGTTGAGTAAACCCTAAACCCCAAACCATTTAGGTTCGGGTCGGCCGGCTCCCAAGCTCTAAACTTCAACCGTGAAACCTGCACCCTAAACTCGAAGCGTGAACCCGAGGCTTGATCCTTTCTCCCCTACCCATAGGCTCAATTGTAGTTTCTTGTTTCGGTTAATCAGTTTTACGGTTAGGATCCTATCAAATACAAAGTTGGTTAACCAAAACAAGGAACTACAATGGAGACTATAGGCAAACCGTAAACCGTCTGGACCTCTCCGAGTAAGTCGGCGCTACGCATGTACAGGCCCGGCAGAAATCCGCTAACCTCAACATCACCGAGCTTGTAAGGGATTCAAGGCTTCTCCCTAAACCCCAAAAAATATCAAGAGAGAGAGAGAGAAACATACCTCTCTCTCTCTATATATATACACATATACATATATACATATATATATATATATAATGTATAAATATACACAGGTATAGATGCTCAGCAGCCTCATCTCAGTATAGCTAGAGAGTAGACTCGGATCTTCCGAGACTGTGAACCCTTAACCCCGTAGCCCTAAACTGTTGTATTTACCCCCTAGACCCTACCCATAGGCCCTAAAGTAGTTCCTTTTTGGGGTTCATATATAGAATCCTATAAGGTAATCCCAAAAAGGAACTACTATGGGGCCTATGGGTAAACCCTAGTTGCAGGTCGAATTGGGCGCCCAGTGGCTCCTCCTCCTCACTTTCTTCAGCAGCATCGGTGGGGCGACGGGTTCCCTGGGAACACTGCGTGATGCGGTGTAGAGCTGAAACAACTTCCCTGAAAAACAAGCTCATGCCCAAAGCAAGCCGGTGTGTGTGTGTGTGTGTATGCGTATATATATATATATATGTACATATATATATATAAACAAATGTATGTATACGGATGTGTGTATGTGTGTTTGTATACAGCTATTTGTCTATGTATATATATATATATGTATATATGATCCCGGTTCTCGGTTCACCGACCCCCCCCCCCCCATGGTATCCCCCCCCCCCCC